GGAAGCACTCAATAAGTAATAATTCTTATGATAGATAATTGTTATTATTTTATAGCTCTGAAATACTCCTTTTGGGAGTCTGGTTAGAGTCCTTACATTTTCCCTTCCAGAATGAGGTTTCTGGGAAGGTTTTTTGATTGCATCATTAAGCTGAACATGGAACAATTTCTGATCTACTGTTTCTCTATTTCTGATTTGTGCTTACTAATATGATGTTATCCTGCACAATTATTATAATTTTCCCAAATTTTAGTTCTGCCAGTGATGGAAAAGTCATAAGTATAAAGGAAGTGATAGTTTAACATGTTGATATTAACAAGGTAATATATTGATGGAATGCTTTGTGTTACCACGATTGGAGGCATCATTGAAATTATTGTACGTTACTAATACTGTTTAATGCTCCAAGGTGCCTGGAGAATCATCTAAAGCCATTTTTTAAAAAAAGAGAAGTGACTTCTCCCATTTTCCCTGTTAGGTCTTCTAAATCTTTAGTCATAGTGAGCAGAGATAACTATTTAACAATTGGTGGTAGGCTATATACACTACCAGTCGGAGAGTGCCACTAGCCCATCAGAAGATTCCCTGGAGTAACATCCACTGAGACTATACACACCATAATAACATCCAGTAAAATCACACTGGGTGAGTGAGCAACCTCAGTTATAGTTCCTCTGTGATTCACTCAGGCATTTTATAGTATTTACATATATACAGAGTTGTTTGGTTAGATTTGGACTTTGGAAGATGGAGTCTACCTATCCAATAAGTGCTCTTCTGGTCTTTTAGCATTTGCTGTCACCTATAAGAGTTACGTCCTGCCCTGGCCAGTTTGGCTCAGCGGTTAGAGCGTCGACCTGCGGTCCTGAGAGACCCGGGTTCGGTTCCCGCTAGGGGCGCGTACCTCAGTTGCAGTTTGTCCCCTTCCCTGGTCTGTCGTGCGGGTGGCAGCCACTCGATGTGTCCCTTTCACATCGATGTTTCTCTCTCTCTCTCTGTTCCTCTCTCTCCTCCCACTCTACCTGAACAAAAAAATGGGAAAATGTCCTCGGGTGAGGATAAAAAAAAAAAAAGAGTTACGTCCTGCATGGAAGTATGTTTAATATCACATAAGTTAAGAGTTAAAACAGTACATATCATAGAAACATGAATAAGATCTGAGATATTCAAAGACTAGTTGGAAAATACTTTGAACCTATTGGATGGCTAAAAATAGCAATTTTCACCATATAATGACCACCATAAATATAATGACTTCAAACAAACACATTTAAATAATTCTATTAAATGACATTGCTTCCTTAGTTATTCTTTTGTAAACTCACCCCCTCTCCCCAACAAATCTGAGATCTTTTGCTAAGTTGTACAGTTAGTAAATGTTCAAAGTTTCTTAAGGTCTAGTTTAAACAGTAAACTAAATGAAGAGTAAAACTTTATTCATCTTTTTTTAAGCAAAAAAGTTAATGAATCATGTAGAATGAGAATAAGTTTGTTGTAAAAGGCATGTTGACAAGAATGTGTCCCCAATTAAGTGGGTAGTAGAGTGTTCTTTTCCCACTGACTCACGCTTCTCTAGACAAAGTTTTAAAAATTCCTATTAAGGATAGCACTTGCCACTGAGCATGACGTATAATTGGAAGAAAACACAGGGAAATGATAAATGGGGTTGGCTCTTTGCACCTATGTAAACAAGCACTGCCCTCCACAGGTCAGCATCATGGTCCTTTCAGTCAAGGGCTTTTCTCTTATACCAACTCTCAAAATCCAGATTTAGAATGAAGTGTGTGTGTGTGTGTGTGTGTGTGTGTGTATACATAAAAAGATTGGGAGAAAGAGGATTTGTTGGGGGATAGTGGGAGCAGCCAGAGAATAGGGAGAAATCCATTTGGCCCCAGAAAGAAATTAACATGATGGTTTTCAGAATGTGGTTCTCAAAACATCCCCCCCCCCAGAACCACAGCGTCTCATCACTTGGTCACTTTGTTACAAATGCAAACTCTTGGGTGCAAGCTCAGAAACACTGCAGTGGTCCAGCAAACAGTGCATGATCAAGCCCTCCAGGTGATTTTGGTGCAGCTGGAATTTAGAACCACTGCCTTACGGGACAGTGAAGATCCCCTTGGGTGACTGGACAAGAAGGTTATTCCATAAAGAATTGTAGATAATTGCCAACTTGTGCCTTTGTTTCTGAGATGTTATAATTCTCCAGGATCGTAGCTGCATAAGGCGTCATTCCTGGTTCTTATGTGGATGAGGACTTCTAACTGTATTTGACTATTTTTTTACAGCAAAGGTTGGTTGCCTCAAAGGAATGCTGGATATAAATTGTTTGTTTCTGCTCTTTTCTCTACAAGACAGTAGAGTTTAGGTAGATCTGTCTAAGTTGGTTTTCAATTAAAAATGTACTTTCTCTTTAAAAATACCTTTTCATCTAATTTTTTTTCTTACTTTATTTTGATTTGTTTAATTCTTTTGAAGGATGTGAACTTAGTTTTCCTATCTCAAAAATTTAGCTACCTATATGGTGTGCTAAGGACTCTTAGTTTTGGACATTGATTTTGATAAAATCAACCACAGGATTTTGAATACCTGTCAGGAAACTTGAGATTTCAGTGCAAATTGATATTGTATAATTTAGCTTTTTTCCCAGCCTTTCTATGTAGTTTCAATTTTCAAAGGAAAAAAACTGCTATGCACTGTTTGATATTTTAAAGTATGGCACCTTATGAGATATGTTTTGCATTTGTTTGTTTATCATGTTTGGAAAATATGCCTTTCTCTCTCCTTTTCTTCCCTTCCTTTTCCATCTCACCTCATTTCCCTTGTTCTTTATACCAGAAAAGGCTTTTAATTTCTTTTAACATGAAATAGTTTCTTTGAAATAAAATGTCAAAAACCTGAAAGATCAATATGACAAGAAAGAAGAGTCCAAGTTGAGAGACATGTGGTTAACACATGAAGGAGAACAAGAAGTGAGGGTTAGCATGACTGGAAATTTGAACTAGAAGGTGGGATAGTCTCAGAATATACTATTGGGAACCTTGATTCTCACAAGGGATTTACAGCATCCTGAGTTCTAGCTCTGTGGGATAGCTGTAATGCACATGAGTAATTCTTTCTCATTGGTGAGCCACTCACCAGCTGTTTGATCTTATAGGTTACTTATGTCTCATTGCTACTATTCATTTTTTTACTCTGTAAAATATGATTTAAAATAACTTTTTAGTAGGGTACAAAATTAATATACAGAAATTTGTTGCATTCTTATACACTAATAGTGAACAACCAGAAGTAGAAATTGAGAAAACAATCCCATTTACAATTGCATCAAAAAATAAAATACCTAGGCTAAGTTTCACCAATGGAATACCTACATTTTGATGCTTCTAGATGTAATTCATCTGTATTCATAGTTACATGGTACTTCGTTGTATTAAAACACAATTTATTTATGTATTTGTATGACAAAGGATATTTTGGTTGATTTTACCTTTTTGTTAATACAGTATAATGACCATTTATGTGTATGTCTTCTGATGAACATGTGCAATGTTTTACTAGAAGAAAGATAACTGGGATTGGAATTGCTTGGTACTAGGCTACATGCATCTTTCCTAGACAATGCCAGAATGATTTCTAAGCAGTTGTACCTATTGATGCTTCCACTAGAAGCGTATAAGATTTCCTTTTGCCAGACATCTTTGCCCATAATTGGTGCTGCCACATTTTTAAATTTTGGCATATTTGATGCGTGGTAATTGCATCTCATGTGGTTTCATTTAACATTTTTCTTATTACCAATAAATAGAGAACATTTTTATATATTTAGGGGTCACTTGTGTTTATTTTTTGTGAGAAATGCTTGTTCAGATCCTGTTTTCCCAAAATTTTCTATAATGTTTTTATTTTGCTTAGTGATTTGTAGAAATCTATGATATATTTTGGAATTCAGTTATTTTTTTCTTTTTTAGTCATATGTAATGGCTATATCTTCTCCCAGTTTTTGCCTTGTGAGGATGAGTCTGCTTCTGGGAGTATTTGGTGTCCTTAGTCTATTTCTTTTCAGTTTCACATTGTCTTACTCAGCACTTTATAATAAATGCTGGTATCTGATGGTCCACATTACTTTCGTGATCTTCTTCTGGATTATCTTGAATGTCAGCCCTTTGCTTTCCTTTTTCTCCTTTTTTGTTTTTTGTGATCTTTATTTTTATCTTTTATTTAATTTATTGGGATGACATTGGTTAATAGGATCATATAGGTTTCAAGTGTACAGTACTATGATACGTGATCTGTATATTGTATTATGTGCCCACCACCCAAAGTCAAATCATCTTCTGTCACCATATGTTTGGCCCCCTTTACCCTTTACTCCCTCATCACCCCCTTCCCTCTGATAACCACCATGTTGTCTGTGTCTATGAGTTTCAGTTTTGTATCCCACGTATGAGTGAAATCATATGGCTCTCGGTTTTTCCTGACTGACTTATTTCATTTACCATAATGTTCTTCAGGTATAATATATAAATTTTAAAATAGCTTAGGAACTTACAAATATACACAGAAACACATATGTATGTCATATGTTATATATACATAACATGTAATTTTTCTTGGAACTGAATTGAATGTATAGAAGGATTTGGGGAAGAATTCCAGTTTTGTGATTTTTTTTAGTCTTCTAGTCACCAAACAGGGAATGTCTCTTTATTGAAGTTTCAACTTACTATTTTTTGAAATTATCCTTGGGATTTATTACTTTTTTGTTGGATTACAAATACATTTCTAGGTTGTCTTGTTTATAGTGATACAGGATCTGTGTATTTGTCAGCGGAGTGCTAATACATATCTAGTTCAGCATCCTACCAGAAGGAGAGGACCTATGAAGAGTATTTTTATGTGTAATATACTTTTCTGTTTAAATATGTGTGATTACTTTGAGTTTGGTTTCTCTGCCAACCTATACATGCTTACATGTTGGTCTGTTTTTCACTTTGTAGGTGAAAAAATGTTAACCAGTGAAAGAGCCTATTTTTGTTCAGAAAGAATTTCACAAAGCATATCTGAAGGAAATTTGATTGACATGGAAGCCCGAAAATCCTCAAAAAATTGCAATATCACAGGTATAGAAATGTATAACTGTTGTGATTTTTTTTCATCCATCAGTAGTATCTATTACAGGTCTACCTCTGAAAAGTGCTACAAAAGATTAAAAGAATTATAAAATCCCAACAGTATCATAGAAATATTTACACTGTCATTAGAAAGATGAGCAAAATAGCAGAGCCAACAGATTATGATAAATATTATGAGGAGGCAAAAACTCATTATTAAATGAGTTGTATATGCAGTAATATATAATGAATTTGGGGTTTAACGACATCTCTAGAGGTTGGAGTAGGCTACAAAATCTTTATGGGGCGTAAAAGAATTAAATTGATCCTTAGAAAAAAGGAGTTCTAAGAGTTAGATGGAACTGGTTTGACGAGAAGTATGGAAATTGGAGAAATACAGCTTTCACTTTTCTTTTTCAAAAGGCATCTTCTAATTTTTAATATATGCCACTGAGAACTTATTTCAATAAAGATAATAGTTCTATATGTATTAAATGAAAGCAAGTCTGACAGTTGACTCAAGTTCGTTTTCCTCTGTTGACTGGCCTCATGGCGTTCGTTTCTCTACAGCAGCAGCAGCAGCTTCACGAAGCTCACAGAACTGTTGGCAATATTTACTGAGAAATAACCAAGTCTGAATAGCTCTCAACATAAAAAAGACTTCAGTATTTGTGAGATATGTAGAAATTCCTTACAGTTTAATATGCAAATATTTTAATGTGTTACTGGTTCTTAAAATACTCTTCAAAGTAATAGCATGCTTTTATTTCATAGTGGTAGACTTTTTCTTTGTCATTTTAAACTTGAAAAAGCTCAATAAAGTCTTAATCTGATGTTTATTGTATATGCACAAAATTTTTAATGTGATTAAAATGTATAAATACCAAGTTATCAGGAAATACTCTAAAAATGCATTGTCTATTTGGATTATTATTATTTTTAAATTGTTTTAGCTTTTAACAGATTTATTTGATATTTTTCACATATTGAATATTATCAGAAAAGAAAGAAACCTAAATGAATAATCTAGATATATTGAGACCAACTATTTAATGTTTAGAAAATAATCTGGATAATTAACTGATTTATTCTGCTTGTTCAGAGTGTTATTTTGTGAAAATGAAACACAAAACTATAAAGCATAAGTACATGTAGTCTGGGTCATTTTGAAGGAAATGTGTTAAATTGATTATTATCTAAATTGTTAAACATTTATTTATTTATAAATCATGTCTTAAGTAAAATAACATTACATATGGTCAAAATACACTGGTAGAACATGTTCCCTTTCCTCACAGCATGAAAATTTGACCAAATTTAACATTAATTTTGCAGCACCCATTAGACTAGAGGTAAAAAGTCTTGAATTTAAGCTATCATACAAATTAATCCTCGTCGTATCTCAGAATGACACTCACCTTTGTTTTTGCTTTGTTTTTGTCTAAATGCCAAGAATGTCCAGACCCCAATGTGCTTCTCGAGTGGCCAGATGCTTTCACACTTCATGGCAATCATGTTTCCAAAGGTACAAATCCATTCTGGAACGAACTGTCTGCTTCTAACCCATTTTTGGATGATATAACTCAGCTAAGAAATAACCAGAAGAAAGATAATATTTCCATCTTGAAGGAAGATCCTTTTCTTCTCTTTAGAGAAATAGAAACTGGAAATTCTCTTGATTCCTCTGGTGATGAACTTGATGTGCATCAATTGCTTAGGCAGCCTTCTTTAAGGAAATCAGCAAGATCTAAAAGTGTTTCAGAACTTTTGGACGTTTTAGATGACACAGCACATGCCCATCAGAATATACGTAACTCTGACCAGATCCTAGAACAAGATTTGGAATGGCTTCGAAATGATCGAGAGGCCTATAAAATGGCTTGGTTAAGTCAACGCCAGCTGGCCCGCTCCTGCCTGGATTTGAATACAATTAATCAGAGTCCTGGATGGGCGCAAACGCAAGCTATGGAGACTGTGATCGTTTGTAAATTAAACCACCAAGGAGGGTCAGTACAATTACCTGAATCAGATATTACTGTGCATGTGCCCAAAGGTCATGTAGCTGAGGGAGAATTCCAAGAGGTATCTCTAAGGGTTTTTCTTGATCCTCCACAAACACTTAATCATGATCTTTCATGCACTGTAAGCCCACTGCTGGAAATCATGTTAGGCAACCTTAACACAATGGAAGCCATCTTGCTGGAGATGAAGATTGGGGCTGAAGTGAGAAAGGATCCTTTCAGCCAAGTCATGACAGAAATGGTGTGTTTACACAGCCTGAGTAAAGAAGGCCCTTTCAACGTGTTAAACAACTGCTACATTTATGAAGACACCATCCAAGTCAAGCTAATAGATTTGAGTCAGGTGATGTATCTAGTGGTTGCTGCACAAGCTAAAGCTACTCAGTCACCAGCTGCCACCGTCTGGGATTATATCCACAAAACCACCTCGATTGGAATCTATGGGCCCAAATATATCCATCCCAGGTTCACTACTGTTTTCACAGTTTGTGGACACAGTTATATGCCAGGAAAGCTTACAATCTCTGATATTAAGAAGGGCGGAAAAAACACATCTCCAGTTGTGTTTCAGCTCTGGGGGAAGCATTCATTCTTACTTGACAAGCCACAAGATTTAAGTATTTCTGTTTTTTCATGTGATCCTGATTTTGAAGTAAAGGCAGAAGGAGAAAGAAAAGAAATTAAACTAAAGCAGTTGCAAGCAAGTCAAGTAGTTCATCAACAATTTCTATTTTCTTTAGTTGCTTCCAGAGAAATGCATTTGTTTGTTTTCCGTGTTCAGTTGCAGCCTCCCAGTGGTAAACCAGTTACACAGTTCTTTATTACAACACCTGATTCAGCCCCAAACCTTAAAAGACACTCAAATCTGCCAGGTGATTTGCAGGAGAAGGACATGAAGTCTGCTCCTTCATTACCAATAGTGCATGTTAAATATCCCACATTTCAAGACAAAAAATTGAACTTTACCAATTATGGAGTAACTCTGAAGACAGTGCTAAGACAAAACAAAATTGACTACTTACTTGAATATTTCAAAGGGGACACAATAGCTCTTCTTGGAGAAGGTAAGGTAAAAGCCATTGGGCATTCCAAAGTAAAAGAATGGTACGTGGGAATCCTGAGAGGTAAGATTGGACTTGTACATTGCAAAAATGTCAAGATGATTTCAAATGAACAAGTAATATCAATGGCAGATAGTGTCTTCACAACCAGGAACCTTCTTGAGCAAATTGTCCTGCCCTTTAAAAAATTGACTTATATCTACTCAGTTGTATTGACCTTGGTGACAGAAAAAGTTTACGATTGGAAAGTTTTAGCTGATGTTCTGGGTTACTCACATCTGACACTGCAAGATTTTGATCAAAAACAAGCAGATAAAGAATCAGAAAAAGTTTCTTATGTTTTAAAGAAGTTAAAGGAAGATTGTCATGCAGACAGGAATACCAGAAAGTTTCTTTATGAACTTGTGGTGGTGAGTATTGTTTGATCACAATAATTTATTTATCACAGAAAACCTTGTTAACTTGCTGATGTTTATAACCAAATATGTGAGAGAAGAAGCCAAAATTTTTCAGCAGTCTCAAATAAATTGAGACTTTACAGCAAATACATAGCTTTTTCTATAAGACCACATTAGTTTCTTAGATTCAGTTGTGATTTCCCAGAAACTAGGCCCATGAGGATCATCTTTTAAAGGAAGATTACTGTCTCTCTTTGTGCTAGAATATAATAGTTAAGAGATTCTCTTTTTCTCTCAAATATTTGGATAACTCTTAAAATATCATAGAAATTCCAATAGCATGAATAAGAGGAAACAGAAACAAAACTAATTAATTTGGCTTTTGCTATAGTTCCACTTTTTAGTGCTTTTTTAAAAAACATATGATTAATGCCCTTTACTTTAGCAATTTAATATTTTTATTCTGTAAGCTATTCAAAATAATATTGCTTATTCTCTTTTTAATCCTCATGTTTTAATAGGACTCACAGGGTCGTTTTTTTCCAGATAACATTCAACCCAGTGTAAAGCTCAGTGGAGAGTTATAAAGAATGTGAACAACTGTTTTCCTTTAAAGTAGAAATTCGGTTTTTTATCAAAGTAAAAAAACAACAACAACAAAAGCATATTTCTAAATATTACTAAAATGTTAATGTATAAATAACAATAATGATAGCTAACACTTCTCTGAGGTGTTTGGCACTGTGCTGAACACTCTGTCCACACTATCTAATTTAGCTATTATAACAACTCTATGGGGTAAGTATAGCTTGTCTTTATCTTACAGATAGAAGAAACTGAGCCTTGGGTGGTTTGGTTTCACAGTTGGTTAGTATCAGATATGAGATTTATAACTCTTTTGGTTCCAAAGCCATGCTTAAAACCACTATAACTTTCTGAATCAAAGTTGTGTGTGTGTAAAATGTTTAAGTATATGTGTTGGTGTGTGTAGTAAATACCATTATAACTGTGCACAGCTGGTGCCCTATAAGAGATGAGTGGGTTCATGTAGATGAGTCAGGTTCATGTAGAGGAGCAAAGTGTTAATTAAGGTGCAAAAAGAGGAGAGAAGTTTTTGGAGAGGAATCTACTCGATGACATTGACAATAGTTTATATAATAAAGAAATAAATACATATAAAATATTTCTTCTTCAATTATTTTTATGATTCTACAGTGATACTGACAGGGGTTGAATTTTAAAAGACCCATATGCAGTTGTTAAGTGGATAGTTTTATGATGGTGTGCTGCATTATCACTTAATCGGGGCCATGTAGAGTCGTTAGCGGAGCTACAAGATCAAAGCTGCACATGCGTTTTGCAATGGCTCATTACCGCTCATAGCCCATGTTCAGCATGGACTCGAAGCTTTGAATTGAAAATTGCTTTGTTTATTTTAGTGGCAAAAAAGAAAGTAAGGGTCTGAAAGTTAAGCTGATCAGACTTGCATGGTGTGAAGTATGATGATGAGTAGCTTTGGTGACTAACGGGACAGTGCTGATGGAGAGCTTATTCAAGGGTGTAGTTCCTAAAACTTACAGTGTGCCCAGGGGAGGCTTCAGGATTTCTGAATGGAAGGGGCTTAGACCTGGTTGTCCGACCAGAAGATGATGGAGCATATGGTATAGAGGCCACTCTTGAAACTTTCTTTGCACAGTAAGTATACATTTTTCTTGGATTGTATCCTAATTAGGGGTAGCTGGAATGGAGCAGATAAAGCTTGTGGGTTCTAAACCCCTTAGTCATCTGTAGACATTGAGACTGACTGTCCTTATATACTTGAAACTTGACGCGCTACAAAGTCCTTGAGCATCTGATTCAACTTTCATAATGATTATAGGAAAGTAGATGAGGCATTATTAATGCTGTATTTATTTAAAAATCATTATATAGAAATATTTTGTGATTTACCTAAAATCTTGTATCACGTGGAGCTGGACTTTAAACTCAGGTTTTTTAATTCCAAGTGAAGCTTTCCCCCCCCCTTAAAACAAAGAACTGGGAGAAGCGTTGCTAATTCCACTCCACAGTTTAGTGAAAGAAACTCAGGGGCCTGCTGGCTCAGTACTGCTTCTTCCCGAGTCATACATCTCACTGTAAAGTTATGGGTCAATATATAGTATATGTATAAAGACCATGGGTCGTCCTTCTAATGGTTCCATGGGAATGAACTCTCTATGGACTTTAATAGTTGCTCTACATGGTCTTTCATTTTTACTTATTGTTTCATAATGATAGATAAAGTTTTTAAGTGCCATTAAATGATGACTGACTACCAAACATGTTTATTTGCTTATTTGAACAAAAAAAGATTATACACACACACATATATACATACATACATACATACATATATATGTGTGTGTGTGTGTGTGTGTATTTAATTCCATAAATATATTCAAGGCAAAAGAGAAACTCTTAGACTCGTTTAAAACATGTGGTGATTGACAAAGCTCAGATGCCTAATTAAGGAGGAAAGAGAAAAGAATCCAGCCTGTGTAGCTCATGGTGAGTGTCGACCCATGCACCAAGAGGTCGCTGGTTCGATTCCTGGTCAGGACACATGCCCAGGTTGTGGGCTGATCCCCAGTGGGGGGCATGTAGGAGGTGGCCAGTTGATGTTCTCTCTCATCCATGTTTCTATTTCTCTCTCTCTCCTTTCCTCTCTCTAACATCAATAAAGAAAAAATATTTTTAAAAAAGAAAGGAGGAAAGAGTCTGGTGATTTTCCATTTTGCATTGTAGAAAATTAGTGTTTTATCTTTAATATCTTGTGGTTTACATTAGGCACAATTACACTGGTGATGAAGGGAGAGGGTTAATTCTTTTAAAAGTTGTAATTATCAGTAGCTTTGTTCAGCATTGTAGGAGTGTCTCATTTTCATGCAATGACATGATTCTGGGAAGTTTTAAATCACAGTTTGATGAAAAAATAGAATAATGTTTACCAGCAGCAGGGTACTCCTCAAGAAATCCTGTAGCCAATCCTCTGGTAAGAAAATGAATTATTTTTCTAAGAGTGAATTATCATCCCTGGGTTGATAAGTTATAGACCATTAGAACCTCAGGGCGTCTTTAGAAGTGTCTGGTTCAACATCCTCCTTTTGCAATTAAAGATATTAAGAAATATATTAGTTAAGTGGTTTACCTGAGGTCTTATAATTAACCACTAAATTAGTCCTAAATCTTCTCTAATTTTTTTCCAGCTGTGTCATCTCTACTTTGCTGGTTGGATTTGCTTATAAGTACATCAACTTTTAAAATTTTAGGAAACTCAAAAATACAGGTGCTGAAACATAGGATGCCAGTTTCTAGAATATGTAAAGAAAAATTAAATTTCTAGGAAAAATCCCAAATTAGTTGCTTTTAAATTGTGATATGTAATTGTTGCTGCAGGCTCTGCTGAAGATGGATTGCCAAGGGTTAGTAGTGCGTATCATCCAAGAGGCTGCTATTCTGACCTCAGCTGTCAAACTGGGAAAAGGCTGGAGGGATCTAGCTCAAAAGCTAGTCCGACTCACAAAGCATCAGATGGAGGCATATGAAATTCCTCACCGCGGGAAAGCTGGAAATGTTGCTGTTGAGGTAATATTTCTGTTTGTCTAATTCAATAGTGAATAATTGCAGACCAACTAGGTCAGATGTAAGCAAGCCTAAACCACTTACATGGGTTAACTGGGGGAGTGTTCTACAGGATCCACTTACTGAAGTTACTGCCCCTATAATCTTAGGTATTATCTGAAACATACACGTATCACTCTTTAAAGCCTTTAAAGTATGTATCAAGGGCCTTTAAGATATATTGATATTTCTCTTATTAGACTGCATATTATTACGGTGTTTGATCAAATGAATTGACCAAATTGGATAGCTAGTCAGTTAGGAGGCAGGGCTAGAAGAACTTCAGGCAGATAACATATAACTTTGAAGGGAGGAGATTGGACCTAGTCAGGGCAAGGGAAAATTATATAATAATAAGTATTTGTCAACTTTAGACATAGACTTATTCATGTGTGATAAATAATATTTGGTGACAATAAGTATTAAGAGGGTGGGTGGTAATGAGAAACAGACTTCTAAGAGCTTCATTTTCTCTGATGATTTTGTGTATGATAAGAACTATGGACAGCCAATGCTTTCCTTGCAAATACTCAGTTGAATACGTTAATTTTTATGAGTATTAAAACAAATGTATACTATTAGACATAAGTTATATACATATTTTCTCTGTTTACCATAAAAATGGGAGTCCATTTTTATGACTTAAAAATATTCCAGTGATGAGCACCTATAAAATGTTTTGGACCTTTCTGTCACATAAGTATAAGCATTTTTGAGACATTTCAGTTAAGGAAAGATTCTCTCTCTGATTAACGATGACTTGGTAGGAGGCAAAAGCTATGTTCTCCGCTTTCGTTTTGGGCATAGAACCGGAAATTAGTAAAAATGGAGGCAGTTTTCTTACTTTGAAGCAACTATGCCAGTTGAGTGTGCAGAACAAAACAACCTTCCCATGAAGAGATGGGCATCGACTAAGGTCAGCAGAATCCCAGCAGGTGCGGCGGGCGTCTCAGCAGGCCAGCTTCTGGGTACCTAGAGCCTCGCTCTCCTTTAAACAAGACTTTTTAGCCAAGAGCAGCCAGAAGCTGAGGACGTATTTCCTCCTCATTGACTACATTTATCTCTGTACCCTAAGAAGTGCATTACCACCTATAAATCACTTTTTACTGAATGAGCTAAAAGGTAAGAAATGTATAGGAAAGAAAAAACAATAATATTGTGAGGGACATGCTCCTCTGATATTTCAGTTAACTGATTACCACTACACACCTATTTGAACTGACAGAACACTGACAACACCAAATGCTGTTGAAGATGTGAAGCAACAGGAATCCTCATTCACTGCTACTGGGAATGCAAAATGGTACCTTCATTTTGGAAGGAACTTTGGCTGTCTCTAACAAATGAAACATACTCTTAGCATATGCTCCATCAATTGTGCTCCTTGTTATTTACCTAAAGGAATTGAAAACTTTTGTCAACACAAAAACCACATTAATGTTTATAACAACTTTATTTATAATTACCGAAACTTAGCAGCAACCAAGGTGCCTTCAGTAGGTGAATGGATAAATAAACTTGGGTGCATCTATATAATGGAACATTATTCATCACTTAAAAGAAACAAGGCATCAATCTATGAAAAGATACGGAGGAACCTTGAATGTATATTACTAAGAAAAATACGCTAATCTGAAAAGGCTACATACTGTATTATTCCAAATATATGACATTCTGGAACAGGCAAAACTATGGAGACAGTAAAAAAGATCAGTGCTTTCCAGGGATTGGGAGGGAGGGATGAATAGGAAAAGCCCAAAGGATTTTCAGGGCAGGGAAACTATAACGATGGATATATATCACTATACATTTGTCCAAACCCATAGAATGTACGACACCAAGAGTAAACCCTATAGACTTTGGGTGGTCATGCTGTATCAATATAGATTCATCATTTGTAACAAATATACCACTTTGGTGAAAAGTGCTGATAATAGGGAGGCTATGCATATAAGGGGGTAGGAGGTGTATGGGAAATCTCATACCTCTTTCTCAACTTTTCTGTGAACTTAAGATGTTTCTTAAAAAATCTTAAAAATTGTCTAATTGAAATCAGGACTTTTTTTTCTTAATAAGTCTCTTTTTAAAAAGGTTTTGTTGAGAGTTATTTATCAAAGAGTTATGTATTCTCCCAGCTTTGTTAAACATCTGACTTCTCTCTAATAATGGTTGTTTATAGTTTGTCTTTCCCCAAATCTTAATGAAAGCCAAACAGCCTACTTTTCCATTATTTACTTTTGTGCAACCCAAATCACAAATAACCAAGTCTATGCCAGATGCTAATAATTACTCAGAAGCAGAAAGGAAAGCCCCTAGGTGTCTTTCTAGAGGCTAATGTTTAATTTATTGTGATTAATACTAACAGTCATCATTCTGATCCATGTTATTAAATTCTTAAAAAGAAGCCATGGTATATTGGCCTAAAACCATCCCAAATAATCGGTGGAAATCTTTACCTGTTAGGCCACTTGAATTAAAGATTAAATGAATGCTAATTTCCATCCCCCTGGGGGAAAAATAGCCATTTAATTTTTTATCTTTGGAAGGAGATGATTTTATTATTATTATTGTTATTATTTATCTTTATTGTTGAATGTCTTACAGATGTTCCTCATTTTTCCCCCATTGACCCCCTCTTCCCCACTTCCTCCCCCTCCTGCCTTTTCCTACACTGTTGTCTGTGTCCATTGGTTATGTATATATGCATATAAGTTATTTGGTTTATTTCTTCCCACCCCCCAACCCCCCTTCCCTTTGAGGTTTGTCAGTCTAGCAACCAATTTGTACTTCTTAATCCCTTCACCTTTGTCACCCATTCACCCCAAACCCCTCCCATCTGGCAACCAACAAAATGTTCTCTGCATCTATGAGAATGTTTCTGTTCTGCTTGTTCATTTTGTTTGTAGATTCAATTGTCGATAGATATATATTCATTGCCATTTTGTTTGTTCATATTTTTTATCTTTTTCTTCAAGAAGACCCTTCAACAGTTCATATAATAATGGCTTGGTGGTGATGAGCTCCTTTAGCTTTTCCTTGTCTGGGAAACTCTTTATATGGCAATCAATTCTAAATGACAGGTTTGCCGGATAGAGTAATCTTGGTTGTAGGTTCTTGCGTTTCATCACTCTGAATATTTCTTGCCACCCCCTTCTGGCCTGCAAAGTTTCTTTTGAGAAATCAACTGACAGCCTTATAGAAACTCCCTTGTAGGTAACGAACTGCTTTTCTCTTGCTGCTTTTAAGATTCTCTCCTTGTCTTGAACCTTTTGCATTTTGATGATGATGTGTCTTGGTGTGGGCCTCTTGGAGTTCATCTTGTTTGGGACTCTCTGTGCTTCCTGGTCTTGTATGTCTGTTTCCTTCACCAAGTTAGGGAAGTTTTCTGCCATTATTGTTTCAAATAGGTTTTTGATTTCTTGTTCTCTCTCTTCTCCTTCTGACACCCCCAAGATGCAAATGTTGGCACGCTTGAAGTTGTCCCAGAGGCTCCTTACACTATCCTCATTTTTTGGATTCTTTTTTCTTATTGCTGTTCTGATAGAGTGTTTTTTGCTTCCTTATATTCCAAATTGATGGTTTGCTTCTTGGCTTTACCTGCTCTACTATTGAATCTGTGTAAATTATTATTTATTTCAGTTGGTGCCTCCTTCATTTCTGACTGGTTCGATTTTATGCTCTTGAGCTCCTCACTCAGTTTGCTGAGGTTCTCACTAAGTCCATTGAGCATCCTTATAAGCAGTGTTTTAACTCAGCATCTGTTAGGTTGCTTATCTCCATTTCGCTTAGTTCTTTTCCTGGGGTTTTGTTATGTTCTTTCATTTGAGACCTGTTTTTTTGTCTCCTCATTTTGGCTGCCTCCCTGTGTTTGTTTCCATGTATTACTTAACAAGAGTTATGGGGCTCGCTAAGACCAGATGCTGCCTGTTTGAAAGAATTTAGGAAAACCTGAAACAGGATCCCAGACAGGCCAATCCTATAGTCAACCAACTGGCAACAGCTTGGGTGGGCCTGAAAGTTGGGTGGGGCGGGGCCTCAGGGATCATCAGGGCGGGGCTACCAGTGTGAGCCAGGTTGCTGGAGTCCCAGATATGGTGACTGTCTGCCGTCCCCGGGAAGGGCTCACCAAAGGAACAAAGGCCTCTGACAGCACGTCTGTTCCGGAGAAAGCCCCCTCTCCAGCCCTCGCTCCAATGCCAAACAGCACAGTTCTTCCCTGTTTGTCTCTGGCGCCCCTCGAGCTGCCTCCCCTCCGAGCTTAGAGGGAGAGAGTCCGATAAGTCTGTGCGCGGGCCCTTTAAGGAGCTCCCTGGGGCTCCAGCCCCTCAGCCTCCCTGAGCCTCAGTTCCCGCTGGTTTTCCAGCCAGAAGTTATGGGGACTCTCTTCCTGGTGCTGGAACCCTGAGCGGGGCACCTAGTGAGAGACGAGAACCCCTCAGTCCTCAGGAAGGACCTTCCCAGCCGAGGTGTCCTCCTGATTTGTATCCGCCACATGTGGGTGTGGGACCAGCCTGTCTGCCTCCGCCCTCCTACCGGTCTATGTGGCTGCTGCTTTAATTCCATAGTTGTAGGACTTCCATTCAGCTTGATGTCAGGCGGTTCTGAATGATGGTTGTTCTGTAGTTTAGTTGTAACTGTGATGTGGCTGTGGGAGGACTGATACCCGGTTTACCTACCTGGCATCATGACCGGAAGTCGGAAGGAGATGATTTTTAAATATGGGCAATTTACAAGTCAAGTAGTTGCTTTGAAAACACCCTGATTTTAGTTCTGGGGAGAGGGTGCGGAGGAAGGGAACGGGGATTGTGGCAGGGAGGTAACAAGGTCTCCGGGTTCCCAAGCTGCGTTTATTCTCTTTATCTCACCACCATGGAGGGCACACATTCCGAAACTCTCCTGCCGTGACGCCAGTGCCTACGCTCAGGCTCCTTTACTCGCTTTCTCTTCAACTTCTCTCTTCCCCT